GCTATTTGGCTTTAAGAGTCTGTAATGCTAATTTTTTTAATTGTAAAATGAAACCATTATCGCTATCAGCCTACACTTTTACACTTAATCATTTCGTTTCTCATGTTACTGAATGATGAATTGAAGTATATTAAAATCATTTATCATGAATGACTTTGACTTATATGTCACCAGAATCTGAATATGCACTTTGTTTACTCAAAGGCTACTTACTATCAAGTTGGCCCCTAACAGTAAGGAGGAAGGCCAGTTCTTTTTTGTCGGACGGCGGTGGGTTTCCCACTACTTAAGACTTAAGAGACATAATCTAATAAACTAAGCTGCCTAGACCCATGTGTGTGTATTCTTTAATTCTGAGTGATTCTAAACTTTTTATAGCTTCATCATAGTCTAACTGTTCTGTTTCCCCTAGTCTGGTCTGGTGCATGAGTCGTGAATCTTAAGCTGAAACTCCTCGTCAAACTACATAATTCGATAACTCTAAGGAAACTAAGACAATGGAGGGTAGGATCCAGACACAAGGCCTGACAAAATATTGTTTGTTCCCAAACAAAACAAAAACAAAGTTATGTTTCTAGTTCCCAAGTTCCATGTGGACTATATCAGTGAGAACCCTCCATTTGACACGACGGCTTACATAATCAAGCCAATACTCAGCCCTCCAAAGCCAAAATTCTCAAAAAACAGCAAATCTGACCAAAAAACTGATCTTCAATGCTGGTTCCAGCCAAAAACAAAAAAGCAAATAGGACACAATTTTCGACCTAATAATGGCTATCAGCAAGATTCTAAAGACCCTACTACCTTGGGTAAAGCATGCCCTATGTCGCACCTATGCAGCAAAAAAAAGAAAAGAAATCAAGAGCAATCACAGTCCAATGTCATACAACAATAGACAAATCCTCGTCATTCCCATGATAATGAAAATGGACGCACATGGTAGCTTTAGCATCAACTGGGTCCTCAAGGAAATACTAAAAGCTCAGGCTCATGAGTCCTGATCAGGGGAATAAACTTAAAACTTCAACATCATTATGACATTGTGGCTATTAATTTCAAAAGATACAACTAAATACTTTATGCACCTTTGATTTCCTCAAGAGCCACAAATTACACATATGCAGGGAGGGATGTAAGCATGAAGTAGCCAATACTTTCAGATCGAACTCTCAATGTATAATTATGTGCGTCCACACACTAAGTTCGCCCCGATTATCACTAAGGAATAATGGGTGACGGTACTCAGCGCCCACCTATTTAGAATATTGGATCTGCCACCGGACAAATTTCTACATAATCATAACCACCTTCTCGTCCCTCATGTTTCATCTTTCTACCTAAATCACCGAAAAGACTAAATTTTGGAGCAGTACTTACCATAACGGGAAAAAGCAAGTCAACAACATCTCAAAACTAGCTGAAAAGAGAAGAAAGTGCAGCAAAGTGATCGTCAAACAAACCAGGGAAAGATTTTCCCCTCTTTTTCTGGTAATGAGTGCAAGTCTAATCCATGCACTGATTTAAAATCCTGAATCTACTCCCAACTAGAAGTGATTATTCCTCATAACTACAACTTAGTAAGATAAAGATAAAAAGTTTCCTGGCCACTGGCCTGTGCTATACTATTAATGAATGTTCCGTAATCTGCAGTATTCAGGTGAAAAAATAAAACAGAAATACAATCAGCATCATGATCTCTAATTTTCTATGTTTCTTTAAGAGCATAGAGGCTCCCTACATTTTTAAATACAAAAGTACGCCCACCATCAAGGAAAAGTTAATGCTGGAGGGATTAGGGTTATAAATATTCTTCTAGTTGTATTGTTTAATAGCTGAAGGTACCTACAGCTTTTCCCTACTCTTCTCAGGTATCTTTGAAACTCGAAAGAGCATATTTGGTTTTAAGAGACAATGCTAGTATTTTATTATCAATGAAACCATTATGGCTATCACTTTTGCACTAATCATTTGGTTTCTCATGTTACTGAATGATGAGTTGAAGCGTAACTATAATTACATATCATGAATGACTTTTCAACTGTAGATGTCACCAGAATCTGAATGTGGACTTTGTTTATTCAAAGGCTACTTACTATCAAGTTGGCCCCTAACAGTAGGAGGACAGCCAGTTCATTCTTGTCGGGCTGCAGTGGGTTACCCACTGATGAGCATCTACTTAATTAAAAAACATAATCTAATAATATAAGCTACCTAGCTATTCCCGTGTTTGTGTACTTTTTAACACTAACTGACGCTATACTTTTTAACAGCTTCATCGTAGTTCTAACTTTTCTATTTCCCCTGTTCTGGTGCATGAGTCGTGATTCTCAAGCTGAAACTACACATCAAAACACATAATTCGATAACTCAAATAAGAACTTAGACAAGAGTTCTTGCCTGTCATCATGTATGTCTGAAAGGATCCAGATATAGGCTTTGTTTTAAATAATGTTGGTGTCTAGGCCATGTTGAGCGTACCTCAACTTCCATGACTGTCTTGCTTTTTATCTTGACTCTTCCTTTCTGCTATATTAGTGAAAAATATGACAGTAGTGTCGCTTATTTTCAAGAATCCTTATGAACAACACAATCTGACCAAAAAACAACTGATCGTGAATGCGGCTTCCAGAGAAAATGGAAAAATAAAAAGATGCAAAGAGACCCCTACTATCTTGAGAAAAGTATGTCCGCTGCCACAGCAATGCAGCAAGCCAGCAACACAAACAAATGATCAAGCTCTGTCACAGTCTACAATGTCATGCAACAATAAACATATAATTAAATAGCTTTGAAAAACTTTTAGCTTTAGCATCAATTTAGCAATACTTTTGACATATAACAGCAAAAGCTCAGGAGTTCTCAGGAAAGAAAAACTAAAACTTCAATATCATAACATTGAGGCCACAATTTTAATAGCTACAACTAGATCCTTTATGCACCTTTGACTTCCTCAAAGCGCCAGAAACCAGGCACAAGCGTGGAGTGCATCCAGTGCTTTCGGATTGTTCTCTATAAATATAATTAAATAGCTTTGAAATAGATACAATAATTCAAGTTGCTTTGATTGTCAGAAAGGAATAATGAGCAATGGTAATCCGAACCCATCGGTTAGAATTCTAAATTTTGCCTCCGGGCACGTATGGAGTTCTGATAATTTGGACATAACCATGACTGACTTCAATTTCCCTAATGTTTCATTACATGCCTATAACAACCACCCAGTAAAATCCCACTAGTGGGGTCTGGGGAGGGTAGTGTGTACGCAGACCTTACCCCTACCCCGAAGAAGTAGGGAGGCTGTTTCCGAAAGACCCTCGGCTCAAGAAGACGAAAACACAAAGACCCAATATCAGTACCTCCAATAGAAAACATAGGAAAAATAACATCATGATATGAGAAAGTAGATGCAAAGGAAATATGATAGACAGTGTATAGACCAGGCGCTATGAAAAACGAAATAGTAGTAAAATAGTAGTAAGACACAACATTACCACTAGCTGACTAGAAAAACTACCAGACTAGCCTCACAAAGGGACGAAGTAAGGAAAGACTCAACTATCTCCTAACCTACGACCCTAATACTCGACCTCCACAGCTTCCTATCAAGGGCCATGTCCTCGGAAATCTGAAGCCTCGTCATGTCCTGCCTGATCACCTCTCCCCAATACTTCTTAGGCCGTCCTCTACCTCTTCTCGTGCCCTCCAAAACCAGCCGCTCACACCTCCTTACTGGAGCATCTGGACTTCTCCTTTGTACGTGTCCGAACCATCTGAGTCTCGCTTCCCGCATCTTGTCATCAATGGGAGCCACGCCCACCTTCTCCCGAATATCTTCATTCCTATTATTATCCATTACATGCCTAATGAAACAAAATTACTAACTTTGGAGCACTTATCCAGAGCATGACAAAAGGAAGTCATCTACAAGCTATGAAACCAGTAAATGGAGAAGAAATTGCAGCAAAGTGGCCGTCATATGAACCAGAAAAAAGTTACTATTTTGTTGTTTTGCTTGTTTGGGTGGGTTGAGGTTGAGGAGGGGCTTTATATGGGGATGAGCATATTTGTGCTTGAAATGAAATACTATTCTTTTTGAGTCTAGCAATAGAAGGTTGAAGTGAAATGTATTCAAACTAATGGAGAATGCAAAATTTGCGCTTGTGTATAAGAACCTTCTTCAAAAATAATACTTAAAGCTTAGAAGTGGGCAATATGCCAATCCGTCAATAAATTGGTAATATATGGCTAATCAAGGGGAAAAGAAAAGATGGCTACTCAACGTGCATTTGATGTTAAAGTTAACTTACATGAAAGAATTTTAATCAGTTTCCCATCAATGACATAATTGCAGCAACCGCTATGCACTCATGAACTTTAGCAAACTGCTATACCCCCAAAAGTCGATACCGCATCCATGAATTTTGGCATACTCTTCCGCACATTTTTGCCACCTTATAATCGTGATAAAGTTTTCCGTCGGCGACACATTTCCATCTATAACCATCTTTTTTTTACTTCCCCTTTAAAACCATCTCTTTTTTCGTATAATATTATAATTATAACTTCTCCTCGTTAACCATTTTAATAGGATTATCTTCTTGCTTTAGAATTATTTATCACAACTCTCAAATGAGTTGTCAAAATAGATTGTTTCTGACGAGATAAGAACAAGCTGTATTTCTGACCATAATTTTCAAAAGTTCTAGCTCCTTTTCCTTTCTTTTTTTCCCCTTTGATTCTAGAAAGTTAGATCAGAGTAATAGAACAAAAATTCAAAATGAAGATGATTGGCGTTACTGTCAAGAGAAGTAAAAGCAAATTTATTGAGCAAAACAAAAACAGAAAAGCAAAACGAAAAAAGAAAAAGAAAGAGATGCAACTGACAGGACAGATTAGCTTTTTTGCTCCAGTTCTAACACATACTCATTATGGATCTATGCAGAATTCTTGATAACTGTGATTAACTTGCTACTAAGTAAACTGAGACTGTAATGAGAAGATTTTGATGATCATGCTGATAAACATAATATTTAATGAGCTATCAATATCTGAGTGCACCTATTAGATAAGCCACGTGATATTCAGAGCTTTGATCCAGCCAAATTAACAGAAGAATCGGAATAACAAGCAAAAGAGCTCAAAGGACATTATGCAAGAATAAAGTAGCAAAGCTGAGACAATACACTCGCCAATTGACAAATAAACTAATTAGACAAACTCACAAGGTTGTAACCTAATTAGCAAGCGCCTGGAAGGAAACATAGAAAGTCGACAAAAATTTGCTAGGTATCAAATTCTTCTCCCTGCAATATATAAGATCGAAGATTTAAGACATGTTTGTCATGTGCAGAAACAGCAGAAAAGAGCAAAATGGAGCTGGATGAAGCTGATAGATTCAAACCGAAAAACAAAAACCACGCTAAATACTTGAAGGGAAATAAGGTGCGCAGAGCTATTGATCTCACAAGTTCCCAAACATTCCTTCCGAAAAGTCCAACTTCTATGGCTAATAATCGTACTTTTATAGTCCCTAAATTCAGTAGTCCCTCCGTTCCAATTTACGTGAACCTGCTTGACTGGGCACGGAGTTTAAGAAAAAATAAAGACTTTTGGAATTTGTGGTCCTAAACAAGTCAAAAAGAGGTCCAGAGTATTTGTGTGGTTATAAAAGTTTCTCATTAAGGGTAGAATTGTAAGTTCAAACTAAATCGTTTTCAAATTTAGAAAGCGGTCATTCTTTTTGGAACGGACCAAAAAGAAAATAGGTTCACATAAACTGGAACGGATATTTATTTGTAAATGAACTTAATCAACATTCGGAACCAAATCAAAATTGTTTCAGTTTGACTCCCCGAAATAACCTGTCTAATTAAAGCCGGGGGAAGATGCACAATATTCTTAACACTTCTTATCTACTAGTAACAGAAATACTTCAATTTTTCAATTTTATGTAGCGCAAATACCAGTTGACTAGGCATGGAGTTCATTATACAAATAGTGGGAAAAATCATGGTAATAACTGAAAAATTACTTTCGCATCGACGTTTAAGTTTGTAGTTAAACAAATTTGAGCTTTTGCAATTTGGGCAAGATATAGAATTATAGAATTACTAAAATGCTGTCGAACAGTTTAAACATCCCAAAATAGAAGTGTCAGATAAATTGGGATATAGGTGGTAGTAGATCTATACCTGTCAGAGATTCACCCTGGATCTGATAATTTCGATTATTGCCAATGTGTCTCAGCTCCCCCTCTAAATTGTCTTTTACTTGGAAATTTTCTGCAACCAAGTGCTATTCCTCTACTTCCATTTGATTACTAAGCTCATTAGTGGATGATCCATCAGCTAAGTAGAGCAATCATATCTCATATCCCTAAATAGTTCTTTCTTCCTTTGACAGTTATGAAGTTGTATCTCAATCAGCACTTCACCTACTGTCAACTTTTGGGTACTTTTGATCTTAATGTAGATCTTGCCTAAATAATGTGCTTTGAGATGTCTGTTGTGATAAGCAGAATTTCATTATGTCTTGCTTCTCAAAATAATCACTTTTGCTAATTAGTTTCCTTCAAAAAATTAATGAATGTGCAATGTGCATCCTATGTCTTCCCCATTTTGAATCATAGCCAAGTCAGTAGATATCTTTTGATAGATAATTGCATGAGTCCTGCCGTCCAAATTCATGAATGTGAAACACAAAAAATAAGGTCAAAATTTTGGTTTGGTCTCTGAACAACTAGCAAAATGAAACCTCATAACATATTATTTACACACTCTATTCCTTTTATCTGATCATCCTTTACCTAAAACGATAGGATAGGAGAGGCCAACCCAGAAGGTAAAAGTTTACAGCACAGCCCTGAAAATTTGGCCCCAAGGACGTATGCTCATGCAATAAGTGGAGCTTCTGGCTGACTAAGGTAATACCTGCTTATATAGTGAAGTACATAAGGTGGACTGTTGGAAAGCAAAGAAGTGGATATAAATGAGAGACAAGTCCAAGAAATTGTCAGAAGACATTTCTAAATTGAGGGAGTTATGAGATTGGTGAAAGTGAAGTTTCATTTTTCTAATTAAAAGAGCTAGAAAAGGGAACTTATGATCCGATTAGAGAAGCAGCCTAATCTATATTAAGAAACATGCAATCATTCCTCATCAATTCAAAGTCAAAAACGAAAGATTTCTCCAGCAGATCTTCTCTCAACAGTTCTTGAATTCAATCACTTTTCATTGTGACAATTCACAATTCAACCGTAGAATGTCACATCATCTTGTCCCCATTACATTGAGCGGTCAAAGAGTACCAGTGGTCACCCTAGCCCATTGAGTGATTTACCTCAGGCCATCAAAATCATACACTCTACTGAATAGATTTCGCAGAAAACCAGCTATATTCGTTCATGGTTGGCCTTCCGCCCCTAGCCACTATTCATCCCTGTATTTTGCAACATACGTGGAATCGATCCTCCAAAGCCTGTTAGAACTCTCATTTCACTGATAAAAAACATAGCATTGAAGCGTGATTCTATGATATGATACTTAAGATAGGCAACCAAACATTTGTATTAACAAGTGTACTTTGGATTATATGTGTTTGACATGTTTGGTCCTGTTGATCCAACTAACCCTGCATTAGTTCAATTGGTATAACTATCTTGTGATTACGCTAGAGCTTTGAGAATGGACTCTCTGTAAGACATCCCCTTTTTTTCAATGATCAGAGGTTAAATTCTATTCAATAAACAGTACCAAAGAGGTACTGATCAACTTCTACAAACTCTCTGTTCAGCATCCCTTGCATGCAATATGCAGACAACCTTAACTCTTCATTGTGGAGGACTCAAAAAGATGCGCTGGTGATGTATCATTTCATAAGGTATGTGTTTAACACATTTTTAATCCTGAGGAATAAAAGCAGATGATCCATCATAAACTCAGTTAAAATTGCATTCTCTAAGACAAGTTACATAATTCTACCTGAATATCAAGGAAAAGGAAAATTAACCAAAGGCAGAACCACAAGTCAAATTAGAGTAATAATCAAGGTAAAAGACTTCCATACTAAAATCACTTTTCTCCAGAAAATAGTTCATTCAATGTAGTTTTACTTGGAAACGAAATCATTTTCTTGTTCATAGTTTTTATCATTTCTATTACTAGAGCTAAGCTGAGATATTAAAGATTTATGATCCCAACTTGCACTTCCAATCAAACCCTAATAAATTGACTACAAACCGGTCCTCTCCAAACATTTTGATCAAAAACAGATAAGCAAAGTAGAAGTACACACCTCGATTGCAGCTTCAACCTAAACTTTGCAGAGAAATCAATAGCAATAAGAATCACCTGAAAAGTAGAAAATAACAAAGTAATCACATAAAAATCATATTCAAGTTGGTAAAGTAGACAGTAGACTACCATTGCATTAATTACGCTGTGCGGCAATAGTTCGAACTTAGAACAAATATATACTTCTAAAATTACCGATGCCTTTGATTGTGCGGCGGTAGGCGATCCCGGTGTAACGCAATTGCCGCGTAGTTCTGTAGTTGGCGGGCTTGATCAACCCGAAACTGCTCTGCCTTGTGAAATTGGGAGAAATTCAAATAGTGTGAAAATTAGTCTTTGTTATAAAATTAATCAAAATTTAGCCATTTTTTTAATAGAGTAATAAAATTCGGACAAAAATACTCTTAAGTTAAAATCCGAAAAAATTTCAGCATAGTATATTAGAGTTTAAACTTTTTACATATAGAACTACAGCATAATATGTTTAGAGTTCAAAATATCATGATGTAAATTCTAGCATAATATGTTGGATTTCGCACACAAGGGGTCTTTGAAAGTTAAACTCCAATATAATGTATTGGAGTTCTACAAGCAAGAGTTTCATAATCCATCATGTTATGTTGGATTTTTCTGTGTTTGTTAAGGGTATTTTATTCATATTTTATCTTCGCATCAAATAGTGACTATTTTTCAGTGACTTTGTAAATGGTGGCTATTTTGCTATTACCTATCTGAAAACTGGCTAGTACATGCTATTTTAACTGTGAAAGAACTGCGTACTCACTACCCTCCCCAGACCCACATATGAGATTTTATTGGATTTGTTGTTCCTGTATATACTATAATAAGGACTTATTTACCATTTTTCTCAAAGTTTTTAAGTTTTCCATAAATACCTTAACTTTTTTAACGAGTTATATACAATCCCTCTTATAAGGCTCTCACCCCATTACTAGTGCCTTCAATTAAGGGATCCATTTATATCCTTTCCTTTTTTCTATCCTCTCCTCTTCTCTCTCCCTCTTCTTCTATGCAATATTGACTGCCAATTCATATAGCTTTTCACTTAATGGTAGTTTCACTTCCTATGATGAGAATCACACATAATGGTTGGCACTCATCAACACACGTAAGGTTTACTGTACTATATTTGATTAATGAGAAAAATAAACAGTTGATTTTAATTTAAATTAATATGGCTGCTAAACATTAAATTTAAAAGTTTGTAGCTTTGAATTTGATATTTGGGTTTTATAATTTTATGATTTATATAGATTGGGTATTCTTGCAAGTGATTGAGAATATCCTCTAGAGTTTATATCTCAATTTTAAGGGAGTTTGGTTAAGTATAAAGTAGGTTTTAGGTGAAACAAATTGAAAGAAGAAGAAGAAGGAGGAGGAGGAGGAGGAGGAGGAGGAGGAGGAAAGAAAGAAAGAAAGAAAGAAAGAAAGAAAGAAAGAAAGAAAGAAAGAAGAAGAAGAAGTTGCGGGAATTGTATGATAATTGTATCAGAATAACATCTGAATTGTATATGATACATCAATAACTAGAATATAATTGTATCATAAATGTACCATACTTGCATCACAATTGTATCTAACTTGTTTATGATACATCAATACTTAGAATATAAATTGTATCATAAATGTACCATACTTGTATCACAAATGTATCTAACTTATTTCTGATACATTAATACCTAAAATAATACCTGATACAATACTAATACAATTATCATACATTTGTGACGCAAACTGCGATATATATCTAAAAAATTATGATACAGTTGTGATCTTCATCTTTAAGTTTCAATCACAACTCTAAACTTAAAATATGACTAATATTGTATTATAATTATATTAGTATTATATGAGGTGTTATTTTAGGTGTTGATGTATTAGATACAAGTAGCATATAATTTTGATACAATTGTGTTACAATTCTAATACAAATGTGATAAATTTATCATACAATTCCTGCAACTTCGTTTTCTTCGAGTTTCAATCTGAAATTTTACCTGAAACCAACTCTAAACTTAACCAATTTCCCTCAAAATTGAGATATAAACTACAAGGTATATTCTCCATCATTTGCAAGAACACCCAATCCAAATACAAATTCGTAAAATTTGAATATTGAATTCAAAGTTCGAAACTTTTTAATGGATGTCAATGGAGAACCCTTTGTTGCTGTAATTTTAGAGATAAAATTTTCACCATTTTCACCTGCATTGTGAGAGAAATACCGATTTTGGGTGATGCGTATGAGATAGAGAGAATGTGATGTGATATCTTTTTAAAATAGATAAAATTTGAATTTCTAGGATGAGGTTGGTGAAGGAGAGAGAATGAGATGCTAAATTTAAAGAATCTTTTATTATTATTTTTTTTTATAATTTTGTAGATAAATGGTAATTATAGATGTAAAATGTAATTAAGTACGAAATAAGTTTCTATTATAATATACTAGGTAAATTTTCCATTGACTAATACAATTACTTTCGAAAAAATTGTGGTAACTCTATTTTAATATGATCATATAATTATCAACATATGTTACCCTCTTTATGAAAAAGCTAATTTTTTTTTACCTTCTAGTTACACATCTAATGTCAAATTTTGAAATAATATTTGAATTTTTTTTTAAAATTTCACCCGAACCAGAAATAATTTACTAATGTAAAGAAATTTAACTCTAGTCTACGTAGTTTCACCAATGCAAATATTAAAAAGTGAAAGTGATATTCAGTTTAAAGTATGTATACTTATATGCATATTGCCTCGCATTATACTCATATTTCGTGAATTTCGGACAGTGTAGCTCTCAGGCCAACGCGTCGTGCTGCCTAGGGCGCAAATTACAGGAGTGAAATTTTTGGGCAACAGGCCAGCGCCAGGGCTGGCGCGACGCGCTACCCTGGACGTTGGGTGACGGGATTTTTTTTTCCACTTCACTCGAGAAAAGTTTTTTCGGCCCTATACACCCCCAACTCGCATAGAAAGAAGTTTAAACCTATTTTGGAGGGTAAGACGTGACTTTGAGAGGAAATCACACACACGGAATACTCAGGAGCAAGGATTCTCAGTTTTTCTTCATCTTTCTTAGTATTTTCAATTATTCAACACTTATGAAATTGTTTAACTTTATCATGAGTGGCTAAAACCCATAAGTTCTGGGGTTGTGATTTAGCCATGAATATTGTTGTTCGAAGTTGACGTTACCTTGATTATAGTTCGCTAATATATAGTTGTTTCTCCAATTCTGTGATTAATTGCTTGATTGCCTAGCCAATAGTTAGGTTTTATTTACTACCTATGCTATGCTTGGGAAAGCTACGTCTAGATTAGAGAAGAATTGAAGAGGGCATGATCTTAACTCTGAATGGGGGCGGATTTGTAGTTAGGATAGGAATATATCTAATCACCATGCTTAATTGAATATCGTAATCTTAATGTGTTCTTAATAGATTGATTCCGTAAAAATATATGTGTTAATCTATTTTGAATAGGCGAGTAATAGTTCGGAAGAATGCTACGAGAGCAATAACTCGATTAATTAGCAACAATGAGCGAATTGTATGAATGGGAGAGTTAATTGGAAAGCAATAGTATTGGTGAATCGATCACAACCCTGGAATGTTTATCTCTACTAAATTCTCAACAACCATTTTCTGCTAGATTAATTAGTTAATTATTACATTCATTGCTTAGTTTTAATCCCACTATTCAATCCTGACTCAACTGAATAGCAAATTGAGTGAAATTAGTAGTTAGTTAACACAAGTCTCTATAGGTTCGACACTCTACTTATCATTATATTACTTGTACGACCACGTATATTTGCATGTGCGTTTGGGAGCAACAGAAATATTATTCTCTTTGAGAAAATTAGTGTCTCAATTTGAAGAGAAGTAAAATACTTTATTGGTTTATTGATGAACTTAAGTTGTATATTTATACGTGCAATATTGACTTGGAAAAGTCATCAAGTGTCCTAAATTACTATTATTTAGAAGTTGGGGTTGGGTGTACGAACAAGGGTATATTTGGGATTTAGAAAAAGTTTAAGGGTAAATTGGTGACTCCGAGGTGCATTTTCTAATGGACGTGTGTACTACAATTAATTCTAATAGACCACGTACTACACTAAAACTTGTGATACAATACAATCCTATTTCATCCTCTTCTTTCCTTTGGTTTTCTACGTGGGCTTCACGCCATTTTCTTTCAAATTTCTCAATTAGGGATTCTTGGTTCCTTTGATATCATCGAAAATATATGCTAATGTATGTCAAGTGTATTTGATATTGGGACTTATTATTATGCTTTTTCTTAAAATGGAGCATGGAGAGCTGCAACTGTTATTTTATAAATGTATCCGGCCTCATCCTTTTTCATCAAGGTTGATCTTTAAAAAATCTCCTTTACACACTTGACATCGAATAAATAGTGTAGATGTTGCTCTTAAAATTTGAGAAACTTTACACCTGGTAAGTTTTGATTTTTCTAAGTATCCTTTTCTCCTGTTAACACATGCCTAAGTATTCACTCAAAAAATTCATCATCTCAACTTGATTTTGGTGCGTTTTAAGTATTGGTTGCATTAACTGCATCAGAATTCTTGACAGATTTTATTTGTAAACAGTTTTCATCTGCATGTGTTTGTGCTACATCCAGAAATTAAAAGAGAGAAGTAGGCACAACTTTGTTGTACTAATTTATCACATATCTATTTTGATTTGCACATGCATGTGCATGATTCTATATATTTGATGAATACAAATATGATATTTAGGATAAATATATAATTTCTGTTGTACACTATTTTACGATATGCACCCAACATGTTTGATGATATGACTGCGACAATGAAACAGTAATTTTAGTTTCTCTTTGACATGTAGACAAGGGGATTTACCTGTATCTTATTCACACATGTTTCATGACCAATGCAACTGATACTAGGTATAAGAAAAAATTATCTTTGGATATGATTAAACAATTCCAAATGTAAAGTTCTGTCCAAAGATCTTTAGTGTGTTTCATATGGTGCTTGGATGATGATTTAATGAAGGTGTTGGATTCTTGGAGCTTCAACCTTCTGAAATTACAGCGGCAGTGGCTTTGTCTGCCTCGGCCTTTCAAGAAAAAAGCAGGCAAAAGACATTGAAAAGCTAATACAATTGTCTTAATTCATCATACAAGTATAAGTTGTACAAGACGAACTTTTTGCTTTCCTTTGCTTTGGTTCTCGAGGAATTGGTCATTCTTTAATTTATTTTTGGAGTTAATAACCTATTGATTAATATTATTCTATTCTATGTTTA